ATTGTATGTCACTAAGTTGTTTTTTTCATTTTATGGGTACATCTTTAAGTGTAAAATTTGAAGAAATATTTTTAAAACATGGCTCATCAAGTTGATGTTTGGTAGTCACTACATCTCTTTACATTTGCTTTTTTAGGTATCATCACAAAAGTCGACAATATCCAATTCGTTAGTATGTAGCTAAATTTATAAATCTTTAAAATATGAAATAGAGATATTTTTCGATGGCAATCTGTATTTTGCACACTGCTGCTCTGAACAGATTCGTGGTTGTTGTGTTAAACCATGCACGTAGATGTTTTTGCCAGGACATCCTTGGCTTTCCTGGTCTTTGTTTTTTTTTTACTTTTCCTTTTAGGATTAATTGCAGCAACCCATATCTTTCACTGTTCCTCATAAAGTGACCGAGGTATTCGATTTTGGCTATTTTTATTGTGGTTAACAACTCTTTTCGTTTTTCCATTCTTAATAAAATGTCCTGGTTAGTAAGTCAGTATAGAATATTTTTAGGATTCGACGATAAAGCCACATTTCAAAAGCATCAATTTTCTTGCAGGTAGCGTCTGTGGGAGTCCATGACTCAACTCCTTACAACAGTATAGGAAAGATATAACATCGTAGTAACCTGATTTTTATGGTTACTAATAAATCATGGCATTTGAATAGCTTAACCACTTGTTAAAATGCAGATCTTGCATTGTCTATCCTACATTTTATTTCTAGGGAATGGTGTCAAATTTCATTGATGTTCGTACCAAGGTAGGTTTTTACTCTTTTTATTGGTTGACCATTTATACTGATTCTTTCAATTTGCTGTTCTTTTTTAGATATTATGTTCAGTGAAAGTTCATATATCTGACTCAATTCTGTAATTCTATTTATTAACTCCTGAAGGGGTTCATAACTGTCAGCAAATAGCACCGTGGTATCCGCGTATCTGATGTTATTGATACATTCTCCGGTAATTCGAATTCCGGCTTCAACATCCTCTACTGCTTTTTTAAAGATTTCCTCAAAATGTATGTTAAACAGCAAGGGTGATATTATACATCGCTGTCGGCCCACGTTTGATTTTGATATTATCATATTCTCCTGCCTCTGTACGGATAAAGGATATTTGATTCCAGTGAAGATTACTAATAATTTTTAGATCACAGGTGTTTATTCCAATATTTGTTAATATCTCCATCAGCTTGTCGTGTTTTTCTGTATCGAACACTTTATGGTAATCAATGAAGCATGCATACATATCGCAATTCAGATCACTACATCGTTGAAATAGCACTTGTATGCTAAAGAGAGCCTCTCTCGTATCCACTGCGTTCCGAAAACCAAACTGTGTACGGCTGATTTTTGCTTCGCATAGTCTATATATCCTTTGATGTATTATTTTTAGAAATAACTTTAAAATGTGACTCATTAAGTTCATGGTACGGAAATCAATGCAGGATACGGATTTTGTTTTCTTTGGTAGAGCAATAAACGTTGACTTTAGCCATGATCTTGGTATTACTCCGTCTAAATATATGTCATCGAATATTTTTGTTAGTCGTTGAGTATTGTCGGTGTTAAAAAGTTTTATAAGTTCAGCATATGAATTGTTAGGTCCAGGAGCTTTGAAATCTTTCATTTGTGATATTGCTTTCTCCACTTCATCTGATGTGATTGGTAAGTGGTCATTACCTATGTAGGACAAAGGTTGTTCGGACCTATTATCTTCAAAGAGTTCTTGTATGTATTTGGTCACTATGCATATTTTTTTTTAATCTGTGTTGATTTTGCTGTTTGTTAGCTGTGTTGGATTTTTCAAGACCAGTTGCTTGTTTTACCTTTTTATACATAATGCATATTTATGCTACTTTTAATGTACACTGCAACAAGTCTAAAGAAATTGCAAGTAATTCCTGGAATAATTAATTGTTCTATTGGATTTTGGTCCTTCTTAGCTTACTTGTATGGTATTCTTCATCTTAAAAGTTGTTTTCAATTCGATCAGTTACAATTTTAATAAACTCTAAAAACACTTAACATTATCTACCTACGAAACAGAAGTGAAAGATCAATGGAAAGGAATAGAGCAAGCAAATATGGACAAATAAAAATATCTGAAAAAAAATGAAAGGCAGAATTTACAACAAAACAGCCATCAGACCAATACTGACATACGGAGCATAAACACGACCTATACAGAGAGGGCAAGAAGAATGTTAGAAACAGCTGACATTAAAACACTGAAAAAATTGGTAAAACACTATGGGACAGAGCTTGAAGTACAAAAGTACTGGGTAAGAAATGGAAGAGTAGAATTGAACGATCATAAAAACCGACTGATATCAAATAAAGTAGTACAGATGACGAGAGACGGTTCCCAATAGGAACACGATCAGGAGGAAGACCACGAAAACGATGGAATGACAGCTTACAGGAGGCATATTGAAAAACAGACAGAGTCATGTCTACATAAAAAGAAGAAGAAAAAGAAGAAAAAACTATAGAGAGATAGCTTAGATAGTATCTGTTTTATCGCTAGAAAAACAAATTTTAAACAGTTTAAACAGTTACATATACGAAAATTGTATTTAATGTAATTTAAATTAGAAGTCTTACTTTTTTATCTTTCTAAAAGAAACCTATCGTCTTTACTTTCTAGATTTAAAAAATTATTAATTTTGATTGAATTATTACGAATCACTTAAATACCTTTACAACGTTTTAACAAATATAATATTAGGCACGCTTCGAATCTACAATTGTTTGTCTAAAACTAAACATTACCTTACAAATATCGTCGTAACTATGAATAAAAATAAAACATTGCTTACACTAATGCTTCTGCAAGAAGAACTCGTTATAATTTCTGTAAAGAAAAACAGAAATTAGTACCTGAATTTGATTGTTCGATTTATTTACAATATTTATTTACTACTTATACAATTGCTATAAAATACGGCGTAAAACTAATCAGAAAACTACAGCTCTTGTTCTCCTATTTCCCAGTTTATGTTCTCCCTATTTCCACTACAAGATCACTACGTTCCCAACGTAGTTATTCAAACTCAAAATTTTTCCAGATAGCTTTTAAAATTAGGATAATCTATCTATTTAAAGGGCTAAGATAAAAGGCTCACACAGTTTGTCCAGTAAGCTAACGACGCCATCTAGGAAAGAAATCTGAACTACCATGATTTGACATTTCAATCATATTTTGTTTTTGAAACGATACGTTTTATTAATAATACTGTATTAATTACATATTAATATAATTATTAAATATTATTATTAATATTTTTAATGTACAATTTAATAAAAATAATTTAAAGTTTGATGTTAGTTTAAATTTAAAATTCTAGTGTCACCCAGGAAAGAAATCTAATGAGATTGACAGATTAAATAAATTAAAATTATCGGACATAAAATATTTATCTGCCAGATAAAGTACCGAATAAAAAGTTATCTGGAAAATAAATTGTGTTTATTTTAGTTCGTTATTATTTTGTAGATTATCGGAACTCAAAAATATAACCTAAATAATGTTGTTTAGTGTAGGTTAGAAACATGGATATTAGAAGATTTAATGAAATCGGAGAGTATGGTCAGTATTATGTTTAATATTTATAAACATAATGCGAGAATATAATATTTGATACAGAATTAAACATTTTATTTTTGTAATAATAAGGACTTTTTTAAAAGGTTAAGATTAAGTAAACCGACAGTGATCTATATTCTGAGAAAATATTGTAAATAGTTGTTATTAAATGATTATAAAAGTAGGTGTATACATATTTTTATTTATTGAGTTTAGGGATTCAATATTTTCATAAGGTAACTGAATACAATATGCCCATGTTAAGGGAATTTTGAATTTATTGCTACAAAAATATATTTTTCATATATTTTTTAACACTATACCAATGTTTAGGTGTTTAAACATCGCTAGTTTTTTTATTATTTGGCAATTTTTTTTTTTCATATCGAATTTTTTTTTAAACCCCTCAATCTGGGCATATTGCCAACCCCTGAAGGTAATATGCCCATCGAGTGAAGGTAATATGCGCTTACCTAAAACACTAAATGATGTGGAAATAAATATTAAAAAACATCATATACTTACAAAATCTTATATTTATTGACACTATAAAAAACATTTAACCAAACAAAGATATTAACTGAAATAACTTAAAATTAAGGAACATTATTGTGGGGTACAATCAGGACAGGTAAAGGATTCCTTATCGAATTTTGTCAGCCCTACACATTCTTCATGAACGTACTGTACACATATAAAGCATAGTCGCATGTCTTTTATTTCAGCTTTGTCGCAAATTTTGCAAAACCATTTTGCTACGTCTTCTGATTTTTTGTTTTTCTTTACCAAACAACCTGGTAGAGTTTGTTTCGTGCCTTTATTTATATCTGTTTGTGGACCTGTGCTAGTGGTAGAAAATACATTTTTTTTTACCACTATAGCTCTGCTATTTATTGCCTTCTTTCTATTTTGTGTATTTTTTTTCTCAATTTTTGCCGGAGTCTCAAGCATTTCCGTAAACGATGTGTCCAAAGTTTTGCCCTGGCAAGTTTTTATTTCTTCAGTATTACTTTTTTCTTCTCGAAGATTGTTATTCTCTTTGTTATAAACCTCCAAATCATTTTTTTCAGAATTCATAAGAAAAGTTTCCTTTTTTTTATGAAACTGATTTATTGCCAATTCAACTTCTTCGCCCCTGTCTTCTGATTCCGAAGTATAACTGCCAGAACTCTCACTTGATGAAGTTTGTGTTTTAGACTTCTTTTTCATGTGAATTGGCGTCTTTTGGTATTGTGGCAAACAGTTTTGTTGGAAGAGCTTTTTGAATAGCCTGCAGTTGGTGGTGGAGTTTTCTGGCGCAGATTAATGGGTCCGCTATCACTATCACTTGATGATGATTTAGTTCTAGGTTTCTTTTTTTGTAATCTTGGGTCTTTTGATATTTTGGTACACTTTTTTGTTGAGAGGAATTTTATGAACAGCCTGGAGTAGGAGATGGTGTTTTCTGGCGTACATTAATGGGTCCGCTATCACTATCACTTGATGATGTTTCAGTTCTAGATTTCTTTTTTTTGTAATCTTGGGTATTTTGATAGTTTGGTACCCTTTTTTGTTGAGAGGAGTTACATGAACAGCCTGGAGTAGGAGATGGTGTTTTCTGGCGTACATTAATGGGAGTGGGATCAATGTTCTCAATTTCTGATAAAATAGTTAGAAGGTGTCAATGCCTTGTCCCACACTATCCAAAATATTTCCCCAAATCGCTGCTTTGTTAAAGCACGTTCTTTGTATTTGGTCCAATACAACAACACTTGTTCGTCCCAGTGGTGTTCAAAGGAACGAAACACAGCTTTGTCCATCGGCTGGAGTTCATGAGTTGTGTTGCTAGGCAAACACAGAAGGTTTATTTGATATTTCTCGGCAGCTTCGACAATTGAAATGTCTAAGTGCCATGAGGTTCCATCAAATATTAAAAGACACTTTCCCTCCAATTTATATTTTGCTAAATGCTCCAACCAAATAATAAAGGTTTCCACATTCATACTGCCTTTAGGGGTCATCAACGCCAACGTACCATGAGGCAAATTATCTTTCTCCATTCGGGCTTCATGCGCCGTCCTTTAAACAAAACGGCAGGAGGAATAGCGGTACCATTGGCGTTAGCACAGCTAACAATAGTTACATTTTCCCCATGTTCCGGAGCAACCAAATGTACGCGTTTTGCGCCTTTCTTTGCTAGAACGGTCTGTTGATGATGCAGACTGAGTCTGCAGCCTTTCTCGTCCACGTTGTAAATTCTTTCAGGTTTGTCGATTAAATCTAATTCTTGAAGTACACCCCTTAATTTGTCAAAATAGTCTTTTACTATGAACTTGTTCAATTTTTGAGCCCGAGCAGGATTCATGTTATGTGCTTTCCTTATCGAATTTTCAGGGTGTCTTTGCAAAAATCCTTTTAACCAATAACGTCCAGCCATTTTGGTTCCTTGTGAAAAAAAGTGTGGCAAATTGTTTTGTTCACAATAAGTAAACACACATTTTTTTAAAGTTTTATTGCTGAGGGGATACCCAACTTCTGCCAATCTACCAATTCGTCGAGACAATTCGTTTTCTTGATCTATATTCAAAATAGTCTTTCTCCCCATTTTTGCCTTTTTGGTACTATTTTTTTTTCTACATAGCGTTTCAAAGTGCGTCTAGAAATCTTATACCTTTGACTTGCCGCATTGTATGACATTCCATTCATTACTGCTGCAATTGCGAATTCTAGCTGTTGATTGCTCCATTGCGACCGTATTTCCTTATTTCTGACACGAGGCATGTTATCTAAAACAAAAAAATCAATAAATTATCTGTTATAATTAGCTGGCAATATGCCCAATTGAGCAAATTGTCAGCATATACTATGGGCATATTGTTGACACATGATGATCAATACATTTTCTTAAATTATAAAAACATTTTGAATAATAATATATTTTATTTTTACTTACATTTTAAGTACTCTGTGGCAGACTAAAATCACTTAATGTCGTAGACAAATTAAAACGTTTAAGTGCAAAACAGTAGAAGTAACAGTAGTACGTAGAAGGTTTACTCCACGTTCGTACTTTTACATACTTTATATAGCTGGATCATAAGAGTTTTTCATCTAAGATCAGTCCTAGATACTTATACTCTTCTGCTAAATGGAAAATATAATGTGCATGACATGCGTTAATGTGCATTTTGACGAGCTCTCGTACTGCTTGATGCGGCCATTTCTAATATTACGTGGCAGGTACCGTTTGTACAGTTAAAATATTTAATTTGTACAGTTAAAATACTTGATTTTAATTTTAAATAAAAAGGGTTTCCCTAATTTGTGGCGTCATCTATAGAGCAATACTGATAGCACCGTGCCTAACACTGTTTATAATTCATTTTTTGAATAAATATGGCTTCTACCTTTGTTGTTCTAAGATCTCCAATTTTTTTTAAATAAAATAGATTTTTTTAAGTATAATATTTAAGTTAAAAAATAAATTTTCCTTACCTATAACTTGATCTGTATGACTCTGTGAAGACGTAGATCCTAACACTGAAGCCAAAAGCGGCGAATCTTCCTTAAAAAATACTTCCATCGTTTTATTCCATATCGAATAGAATGATACTTTGCATTTTATCTTAAGTAATCCCCTCGCGAAATGTGATTTGGTGGTTGTCATTTCGAGTTTAGATGTCGATACTTTTTGTTGAGCAGTTCTGTTGAACTCTGTTTTTGTTGGCAAAACTTGAGCAGCTAGATGTTCAGATTTTATCTGAAACAAAAACAATTTATCTGTAGAGGAACAATTTTTATTTAATATCTCAGGAAAAAACCACATAAATAAAAATTGTTTTCAGTAGATACAAAAATATAATACAAAACAAAATATCAGGGAATCATAAAAAAATTAAAAGTTCAGACTAATTTAATTAAACATTGTTGATCACGTGATGAAAATTTACATGAATTTGACTAGCCGTGTCCGTTTTTTTATATTAAAGCCATTTGACAGACCATCAATTGTCGATGAGAGCATGGCGTAGTCAGTGAAAATGATTATCATCGAAGCGAAATAACCAAAACAAAACTAGTGAATAAATTCAAGCGCTCCAGTAATTCAAGCGATAATTTCGAGTGCACATTTTGTGCACTCGTTATCAACCGACGTATAAATAATTCAAACGGCAACACGCACACACAGAACTTGATTGCTGATAAGGACAATGCTAGTTTATAAAATCAGTTATTGGTTTCCGCCAAAACAATCGCTCTCGGTAGCTGGCAAAATAAAACACGACGCCCGGCACCACGATGCCTCGGTCGGCGCTAAATTTGCCTCCCTCTCGATGTGACACACTTTCGGGTTTTATGTGGAATTATTAGTCTCTACCTCATTTTCCAAACCATATTCCAATTTGGCAGATACCCATCCAGCGGTGCTGTTTGCACCTTATACATTATTAAAACTGTAAACATCAGATAATTAAAATTAATTTTAGTAAACAAAATTGTTATATTTATTGACAATATTTCTCCAGTGTTTAAAATCGTTTTTAGACCAGGGCAGATATGTGAAAAAACGTTTACAATAAAAATGTTGAAAGTGGCATCCTGATTTCTTTCAAAAAAGGTGCGTGAGAACTTCAATAATAATAATTGACATTTCATCTTTCTCAAATAGGTCAGTATCATCAGTAAAAAATTAAAATATATCAAAATTACTAAAAATGTAATGTACTGGGGCACTCCACTGTCGCCAAATGTACAACTACTGGGGCTCCGCTGTCACCACTGTACAACTAGCGGGAGGTTATATCCCCTATTGTAACATCTGGAACTAGAGCGGCTACAAGGAATACTGGTCCCACTAGTCTGGAGGGCTGGCTCGCCTTCGTGGATTTACGAGAAGGTAAGGAACTTCGGAAGGTAAGGTAAGGTAAGGATGGCGTCAATAGTAATCTGTTTTTTAAAATTTCTCTCTTTGTTTGACATCGTCGCAGTACTGTGTCTATGTATAGCTTTTCTATTTCTCTTTAGTAGGATTGTTCGGTATAAAGGAATTTTCTATTAATGTAGGTCATTAGGTCTACGTTTTGGGGTAGGATTGGCATACTAGGATTTATTTTGTTGTTTACGAAGAAATTTATTAGGATTCGGGGGTGTTCAGTTTGCCATACTTCTGAGTTACATATTATGGCCCTTTTGTGTAGTGTTAGAGCAAATATGTTTTTATCTTGTTCTACTATTACCAGCTCTTCTAGTGATTGTTTATGAGTGATCTTTTCACCGTGCCCTCTGTAAAGTTGTGACAATTGACTTTCACAACTGTTGTCTTTGTATTGTTCCCAGGTTAATTCGCCTATTGTAGAGTCGAAGCAATAGCCGTTGATGAATGGGCATGTTACTCCTTCTCGTAGGTGGATTTCGTTGTCGTCTATGCTTACTGTAGCTTGGTAGTCGGATACTGTTATTTTTACTGTTACTAGTCTTACTACGTCTTTCCACGTTCTACCATTTTCTTGATGTAGAATCCCGTAGCATTCGCCGTTTTCTTGTAGAGTTGTATAGATCGGTAGCGGTGTATATTTCGGCATTCTTCTGCTCCTATCATCTCGGTGTAATTGTCTAGTCGTCCTTCGACTATGGACGTGTGGCTGTACATCCCACAGTGGAACATGAGTCTCTCCACCGTGATGAGTATCTCCAGTGTAACAAATCGCACTGGTATTACTGCCCGAGCAGTCGCACTCCCGTATTCAGACTTTAGTTAGCATTAGTAATTTCTACGCGTAAGTCCAAACGCACCTTAACCTATAAATACCTGTATATTATAGCTGCTTATTGCAGACAATTGTAGCGATAGCTTTACCTGCATCTGACTTATAAAGCAACCTACATTGTATTGCATATTAATATGCCTTTTGACCATAAACTGATAAATAAATTGACATCTAAAGCACTTAATAATATTGATGGATTCGACCGTTACTTGATGGAAATTCATTTTATGTAACAATAAAACACTGAAAACTTTGTTTTCAAACTTCCACAAAATTTATTTTAACTATTATCACTACAGCTGTTTCGGCTGATTGCCTTTCTCAAGTGATCTATTTTGGCTTGGGTTTACAAATTTATAGTCTCTAATGAAATAGGTTGAGGAGGGGAGAACTGTTTGTCTCAAGTTGGTCATTCAGAATTATATCTGTGTTTTTTAATTTGTTGATTTCCATAGATTCTAACAAAGATAGCTTAAGGCCTTTATTTTGAATGTGAAGAATTTTAAATTTGTCATTAAAATAATGATTATGATCTAGAAGGTGAAGTGCGTATGTCGAATCTGTTTTTCTATTCTTGAAAGCCCTTTTATGTTCTGCTATTCGTTTATCAAAGTTTCTACCAGTTTGACCGATGTAAGTTTTTGGGCAGTCGCCACATTCAAGTTTGTACACCCCACTATTTAAGTGTTTTTTATTTTGGCTCTTGTTATTTTTAATATATTTGCCTAGGTTGTTATTTGTTCCGAAAGCTGGTGTTATGCCTTTCTTTTTTATGTGTTTGGCAATTTTTGTTGTTATTTTGCCTGTATATGTAATCGAGCAGAAGGTACTAAGTTTTTTTTCTGGTGGTGGAAATACTAATTTAAGGGCTTTCTTGTATAGTTTTTGATTTAACATTTTATTAATTGTTTGTTCGTTGTATCCGTTGTTTACTGCTATCTGCTTAATTATATTTAATTCTGTCTCAAAGTTGTATTTTGACATTGGAATTTCTGTTAATCTATGTAACATACTATGATAAGCTGCCAGTTTATGTTGTGTTGGATGGGATGACGAATTGTGTATAGTCGTGTCAGTATGGGTAGGTTTAAACTACACAAACCGGATCACCCAATAAGACCTGTAGTTTCTTTTTATACAGCTCCGTCATATAAAATTTCAAAAAAACTGTTAGAGATTATTTTAGACCACACTAAATTTTCACCTAAATTTACCATAAAAAATACAATAGAACTAGTTAATAAAATACAACATTTTCAATTACCTAACAACTCCAGATTAATTTCATTTGACGTAAAAAATCTATTTCCTAGTATCCCTCCTACAGAAACTTTTATTCTAGTAAAAAACCTTGTAAATGTGGCGACTGCCCAAAAACTTACATCAGTCAAACTGGTAGAAACTTTGATAAACGAATAGCAGAACATAAAAGGGCTTTCAAGAATAGAAAAACAGATTCGACATACGCACTTCACCTTCTAGATCATAATCATTATTTTAATGACAAATTTAAAATTCTTCACATTCAAAATAAAGGCCTTAAGCTATCTTTGTTAGAATCTATGGAAATCAACAAATTAAAAAACACAGATATAATTCTGAATGACCAACTTGAGACAAACAGTTCTCCCCTCCTCAACCTATTTCATTAGAGACTATAAATTTGTAAACCCAAGCCAAAATAGATCACTTGAGAAAAGCAATCAGCCGAAACAGCTGTAGTGATAATAGTTAAAATAAATTTTGTGGAAGTTTGAAAACAAAGTTTTCAGTGTTTTATTGTTACACTTAATAATATGTTGATAATTGGGACTTGTACTTTTAAATGCTTACAATATAATATATGATCTTTCTGTTATATATACACCCTGTATATTAGAGTCATATATTTTTAATTTTCAACTTGTCATCACCTATTGTTTACAGTTACGTATGTGTAACGAATTTTGCTTATTTGAAAAATATTTTAATTATTATATTTACTCTTACTAAAGAGTAAGAAATTATTGTAATAATTTCTCACTCTTTCCCCAATTTTTTAATTAATTCAAAAATAGAATTTTTCTTGATTTCTCATCAAAACCCAATGACTTGTTATGATATTTCTGTTTCAAGGCTATTAAATTACATTTTGCTGAGTTGCTGATATTTTATATCCTCACATTGTTATTGAAATTTGATATTGACTGATGTTTTGAACTCTTGGTGTCTGTTATAAACTACAATATTTTGTTTTTATTTAATTAATAACGATTTCTAATTTTTTATACTACTTTCTTAGTTGATAGGAATTCAAGTCTGTCAATGAGTTTTAACATAACAGTAATGGATTAGCGTATGGTATCTTACCGATCCAGTCTCCTGCTCTTACTAATCAACAGCAGCTTAGACCCCTATTAACCTTAAATTAATATACTTAGTATTATTATGTTTTCAAAAAAAATATTTCATTGAACCACGCTAATAATTTACTGTGAATGATTATATTACCTGTGTTTTGTCTTTCGTTCCTTGTTGTTAATGGCGGATTTTCTTACCTATTAACATTGTGTACTGCTATTGGGCAACAATTTATTTATAATGAACACGTCAGATGAGCGAGATAAAAAGCTGAATATATTACGTTAATAATATATTTTTTTTTACTTATACTTGTAATGGACTTATACTTATAATTGTAATGTAATCTTTATATCGGATTTCTTACTTTATTGAGTTCCTTGTTAAAATTTTAGTATTATTCGAGTGGCCGTCTCTTGTAATACCAAGCTTTCAACTTTTCTTATAGTTGTTTTGATACTTTTTTACTATTGAAGGTTGCGTTTATATTTAATTTGAGTCTCTTACCACTTCCTGACACGTGTTTCTAGGTCTACCCGTCATCAGAAGGAGTTTGTAAAAAGACTCAAACCAAATCAAAACGCACTACTCTGGCAATTATAGGAAAATAATTACCAGAGTAACTCCTTCTGATGACGGGTAGACCCAGAAA